AAACAAATCCTTCCCCCTCCTTATGCACAGAACATCTTGAATATTTGTGGCATTAACTTTTTTTCTTAAGGGTGCTTAGAATTGCAATTTTCTACTGTGATTACCAGAGGCTGCCTAGGAAGAGGTCTCAATTGAGGTTTATTCCAACCATGGTAGCTGAGATTCTATTTTCAGATAGATAGATAGACAGACAGACAGACAGACAGACAGACAGACAGACAGACAGACAGAACCTAGGACCTTACCCATGCATCCAAAGCATGTCCTCTGTCACTGAGTGATTGCCTCTCAAGGGATGAGAACATTGCGTAATTTTTCATCACCATGACTTTTTTTCCTGTCACAGCTGATTTATGACAACTCCGTAGGGTTTTCAAAGCAAGAGGTGTTCAGAGGTGGCTTGCCATTGCCTGCCTCTGCACAGCAACCCTTGAGTTCCTTGGCGGTCTCCCATCCAAGGAATAACTGGGGCCGACCCTGCTTACCTTCCAAGATCTGACAAGATCGGGCTAGCCTGGGCTACCCAGGTCAAGGACGCTCACTGAGAATAAAATGCATATGAGTTCAGTGGGGCTTACTCCCGAGTAGCTTTCCTTATGCAGAAGTCCAGTTCTGTGATTTCCCCACCCTTGATCTTACCTACTTTGGGTGCAACCACTCGTTTCCGCACGTGACTTGAACATCGTAATGCAAAAAGCAAACCCATTTAAAGAAATCCCCATTCGAGAGGCCGATGGAGAAATTCTGCAACTGTTTCCCCGCCCCACCCTCCTGGACTGTGCAGTACTGTGCAAATAAGGGTCAGAATCGCTCTTGGGACAGGGGATGCAGCTCAGTGGTCCGAGTGGGTGCTCTCCTAGTATGTAAAGGTTCCCATGTTTGATTTCTGGTAAGACGGTTTCAGACAGCGGAGTGGGAAAGATCCGTCTGGACAGCCATGGAGCCCCCCCTAGATTTACAACTGATCCCCAGGCTATAGAAATCTGTTCTCCTGGAGGAAATGGTCACTTCGGAGGGCAGACTCTGGGGTACCCCACAGAGGTCACATCCCCACTGAGCCCCCTCCCATCCCCAGACGCTGCTCTCCCCGAGCACTGCCCTCAGATCTCTGGGGACTTCCAGAGATGGCACTGGCAACCCTAGGTGACTGCAGCCAAAGCAGGCAGTGATGCTCTCATGGAGCACAAGGCTGCTTTGTAATTCTGGACAAAAAAGCTCTATGTGCATGACTGCTGAAAACTGATGCCTACCCCCCCCCAAGGGGCAACTGGTGAAATGCAGTCAGAGGGGCTCGCTACCCAAGGAGCAGGGCCATTTTGTGCCTGTTTCATCCTCCAGTGCTCCTACTGGCTTGGCTCAGGAAGAACAGGGGCCCAGCTGGTGGTGGCTGGAAGGGAGCTGACCTTCTCCATGGCACTGGCACCTTCCTCAGTGCGCCGCTCCAGGTGGTCACTTGCAAGCCTGGACCAGAGAACCAGTCTGGCCGAAGGATGATAGATGTTGACCAGTTGTCTAAAGATGGATTTGACTATTTCGAGTAGTGGGTTGCAAGACTGGTTATTTGTTCTCCCAGGTAAACAACCCCTGATAGTTTTAAATCCAGCCAGCAGGGGTTCAACCAAGGATAAAGAGACATCACGGCTGGTCTGTGGATTGTGAGTTTTTGCCTTTCAATGTGAGAGCCGATTCCACTGGAAGAGGTGAGCTTGAGGTTCCACTGGACAGCCTGGAAGTTCTCACTGTGGCAGCTCATTCACACGTGAACGCCCGTGCCTGATATTGCCGTGGTCACGTGAGTGACATGCCTGAGAAGGCCCGATCTACAGCAGCAGCTGCGTGGCCTTTGGTTTTGCATTGACCGAGGCCGGTGCTGAAAGCAGTCCTCTGTCTCCAAGCAGAGTGCCAGAGACCATCGGCGCCCAGCAACCCTCAGCGGAATTAAATAAAAACCAGGTTTCCTAAACTGAGCTTTTCCATTGTGAGTCATGAGCCCTGCATTACCTCAGACTGGTAAATAAATAATCACAACTAAATACAGATAATGTGTTAACAGCTAGAGCTAGTAAATCACCAGTGACAGAGCGCCTTGAGGTAAATTCCTTTTTTTTTTTTTTAAGCACTGGTAAAGGCCTTTCTTGGGGTGTTGTGTATGTATGTATGCGTGTGTGTTTACATCTTCTGACACCCAACGATACATTTGTAGAATAGGTTACTTAGCTTGGAAACCATTTAGAAAATGTACACGCCTCCATCACTTAACATCACATATACTCTGCCTGAGCTTCCGTGGCATAATTGTATTGCTGGTAGAAACTACATGCCCGATGTTCAGGCAATTCACTTACAGGCACTTCGAAAATATGGGGAAGCGAATCTAGCTGCTTCCTAGCAGGCAGGCACATTTCAGCTGTCAAACAACACCAGCCTGTTGTTTCCTCACTTGAACAACGCATTTTTGGAATGCCTATGCTGGTCAAACCAGAAGAGCTTAGAGGAGCTGGTTTTCATGATGATTATTGTTGTGCTGTATTCAGGGCTTTTTTTTCTGGGGATATGCGCTGGAACAGAGTTCCGGAACCTCTTCGACAAAATTCTTTCCAAAATGTTTAAAAGTTCATGAGTTTTCAGTAGAGACTGAAAACTTCATTTCCCTCTTAAGAGTTTCGGCATCTCTTTTATTTTATTTTTTATTTTTTTTAAAAATCCCTGGTTGTATTTATAATGGTTACCTGCCTTGGGACCTATGTCAGGAGAAAGGTGGGGTATACAAGTGGTGATGGAAAGTGCCGTCAAGTCCCAGCAAACTTATGGCAACTTTAGTTTTCGAGGCAAGTTCAGAGGAGGTCTGCCTTTGCCTGCCTCTGTGTAGCGACCCTGGTATTCCTTGGTGGACTCCCATCCAAATACTAACTAGGGTCAGCCCTTGCTTAGCTTCCAAGATCCTTGGGCTAGTATATAAATACCCTAACAAATTTTGCTAATACAATATTTGCCTCTGTGGCCATAAAGGGGGTGGAGGGGGAAGAGGACAAATGGTTGTGCGGTTTCTCAAGGCTGAGGACTCCCCAAACCTGTTGGTTCATATTAGCTAAGTAAGGCTAGTGGAAAGACAAGGTTATACCTCTCCAACCTTTCACCTTTGACCTTCAGGAAAACAACTTCCAGAGTCAAAGTAGGAAGCCAATTTGCCTATCTAGTGCATAATCATTCATGGCAGTTTATGAATTTATCACCATTGAATACTGCATGCTAAACTTTAGAGTGCATATATTAAGATCATATTTCAAGTACTTAAAAGAAGACGTACAGGAAGGGTGTCCCAAGCCTATGTTTTGCCCTGTCTCCCAGGTACCCTTTTCTGCAGCCCTGATGTGACTGCAAAGTCTTCAAGGCACAGAACATCCTGGCTAAAGGGTGGCATCTGTATCACATGACTTCACTTACGGTATATACTGTGCTCAGGATCAAATAACATAAGAGAGGCCATGTTGGATCAGGCCTCTGGCATACAGTGGCCAAACCCCAGATTCCATCAGGAGGTTTACCAGCAGGGAGCTCCAGAAGCCCTCCCACTGTTGCCCCCCAAGCACCAAGAATGCAGAGCATCTCTGCCCCAAACAGAGGGTTCCATCTATTTCTTGTGGCTAATAGCCACTGATGGACCTCTGCTCCATACGTTTATCCAATCCCCGCTTGAAGCAGTTTATATTTGTAGCCACCACCACCACATCCTGTTCCCATGAGGCTCCTATATGGTAGAAATCAAGACCTTCAGAACTTCCTGCTTATAGAACCCAAAAGGAATTCTTCATAGCTTTTTTTAAAAAAGTGTCCTGAGCTGCTATTTGGTACTGCTTCTCCAGTGGAACAACTATGATAAAAGAGTGGGTTTATGGAGTTTGCAAGCTGCCAGCGAGAAGTACAGTGGCATTTGCACATATACATTACAAATATGGTAGCCCAAAAATTAATCTAATCATTAACACAGTGCCCACATACTAAAATATAGAGCTGGAGTAGAAAATGAATAAAAAGATTCTATAAAGGCTTATTTTTAGGGGGTTTATATGCTGCTTACTAGTGCTTATGCACATTTCACTGATTTTATACTGTGGCTCTCATATGGACCAAAGGCAGAAATGCTACAGCAAGAAACATGTGCGGGGGGTGGGGGGAGAAAGAGAGAGAATAAAATTACTGAAATCTCTCGTAATGGAGGGTGACAGAAAGGGCAGAGGGAGAGCTGTGAGCCCAAATTGAAACCTTAATAGACAGAACAGCACTTTCCAGAAAGCCAGACAAAAGATCATTTGTACCACATGGGCACCAAAGCATTTTCATGCTCCACGAACCAAACAGTGGCATCAAACTTTGAAATATTAGGGTAATTTGAGCATCCAGCCATGACGGTGATATATAAACAGACCCGCCTGTGTCTTTGCGAGAGAGACTGTGCCCAGGAAAGAACAAGGAGTTTCCAGGTGTTGGTTCAAGTGTAATTTTTGTTATTAAACATGGATTGCGACAGAAGCTTCTACAAGGACTTGCACACAACCATGACTGATGGATGCACTTCTCGGCCGTTGGGGTTTAGCGCCATCAACTCACTCAGGACACATTTGAACAGATTATGTACTGTGGTACTTGGTAGACCATACATTAAAACAAGAGACTTCGCTCTGAGGCTCTCATTCCCACACTCCCGCAGGGGAATTAAAAAAAAAGGGGGGGGGGACAAAAAAAAGAGAGAGAACAAAACTCATAGAGTTTGACAGCTACTGAGGCAACACTTGCCATTTACATTATAAGCCCAAATATTTGTTTGTTTGTTTTTTTGCAACACAACTATATATTAATTTAATAAAATACACAATATAGCTCTTATACACTCAACAATTTGGCTCAAATGCACTGAATCTGCAATAAATCAATAAAAATATGTCATTGGATGTAAACACATTGAATCTTCTCACATTTCAACATTTAAATGGTTGGTGGTGGATTGGCGCGGATGGCTTGAAATGGTTGCACTCACTTGAGCTATCGTGGTGTCCACAAATGAACTACAAAAGGTGTTAATAATGTTAATTCCTCTCCTCTATTATTACCCGTCAAGTGGGTATCTCTTGTTTGTGATCTTGTATTATGCCTCAGGTTCAAAACAGACTGCTAACCTAGAGTTTTGCTGGACACCGAAAGCCCCTTTGCCCCCCCTCCCTTCTTACCACGTGAGTTAGCTTATGTGTGTGTCGGACAATCATGGGACTCTACCATTTTACACTGAACTTTAATATGAGTCATGAGCGGTGTTACTAATGACCGGGCTATCTTCGCTGAAACGATGCTATGAAATGGATTCTGGGGGTTGTTCTGTGTCTCTGTGTCTGTGTCTGTGTGGAAGATAACTTTTATACAGAAATGGTTGTCACGAATGCGTGTTAAATGCTCGGTGTAGCTCGGTCTATGACAAGAACATTTGTTTCTTGGTTTACGCGGTTTCTGGTTTTAGGGTTTTCAGTGGAGGCCTGTTACGGACTGCTGGAAAACCCTTCACAGAACGATCCGGCCCTGACTTTTATGGGGTCTACAGGTAAACAATCACAATGACATCAACTATCAAGTCTTAAACATCGGGTTCCATTTATCTCTTTTTTTATCCTTACACCTTTCTATTAGATTGTCAAAATGGCGCCAATTTTTTTTCCCTTCCTCTCTTTCTTTCTTTCCTTCCATTTTCTTTACATACATCACACTGTCCTAATGAGAGTTTGGTCAAAACGAAACCAGTGTTATCTGTGAAAAAGAAACAGCAGTGAAAAAAGAACATACTTAGTGGGCACTTCAGATGTTCACTAAAAGCCGTAAAGCAGCATTGGTCTTTGTTCATCCCTGTATAAATTTTAGAACCAGGGGGAGATTTTGTTTTTGTTTTTTTCCAAATCAGCAGAAGAAGCAAATAAATGCCAGGCTGTCTTTTTGTGTGTTTTTTGTTTTGTTTTCACTTTCTCACAGCTACAGGGTCATTTCCCCGACAGTCCTGTAAAAGCTTGTCAATCTCCCGGACTACTTCCTCCGCATCCACCGACTCTCTCCCTAGTTCCCTATTGGAACGGTCTATCTGCTCCAAAACAGAGTCCATTTCGGCGGAGTCTCGGCTGACTCGCGAATGCACCTCGGCAAAGACCCTTGCCATCTGGTCGGACGCGAGGAAGGCCGCGTCTCTGGGCTGTTTACTAGGCGACAGGTACTGACTGTCAGTGGCGGTCAAGTACTGGCTGCTTGGGTCAGCCAGGCCTCCTGTTTTGACTTCGCAACTATCCAGCGGCCCTTTTGTCGAGGCGCAAGGCTCCATACAGGTCTTGGTTGGGCTGCTCGATGCTGAGGGCACCTCTTGGAGGAGAGGACTCAGGGCACGTTTGGCTTTGAGATAAGGTTTCACATTGGCAATGAGAATTGTGTGCTCTCGCTTGTCTTTCCCAAATGTACAAAAAGTCTTTTTCCCCGCGGGGTTCACAGTTTCGTAAGTCTCAGTCTCCACGCTCGCTTCCACCATAGGGACAAAGAGATTTGTTCGATAATCCGCATTTTCGGCCTGGTTGGGAGTAGGGAACTGGGGCATCCAACACCGGTCGGAATGACCAAGCACCCGGCATTCGTCGGTGCAGTTAACACACTCCTCTTGTTCTGCGAAAGCAATGAGAAACAACAGCGGTTTCAATCGGCTACCTTGATAAGAATGGATTGCGGCTGGCTTGCTCGACAACCCAGGGGCCCTAGTTACAAAAGCGATCATAATTAAACCATTTCAGGAGCATTGCATAATAAACCTACAGGTTGAGGCCATCGATTTATTTAAAACTTATTCTCAAGGTATGACAGTGGCCCCGTAGCTCAAAGGAAGCAGAGAGAGAGCTCCCCAAGGGAGAAGCTCTCCACTGAATTGAGCTCACTGGCAAACTCTCGCTATAGAAATCTGTTCTGGTAAAATCATTTAGGAAAACAGTGAACAGTACTTAAGAAACTCAAGAAGGCATTATCTGAATTATTTGCCCAGCCCCTGATCCAATATCTGAACAATGGCTGACTTTGTAGAAATGCAAACACTTTATAAAAATTAAGCAAGCTGAGTTTTCATCTCTGACACCTCTCTGTGTTTGTAATTGTTATGTTGGATGGCAGGCATGTTATGACGGGGGGGGGGGGGGGGGGTTTCTTCCTTTGCCAGCTGAGAAGAGGGACAGAATTTTCTTTTACTGCGCATTAAGTACAAGCCTGTCAAGAGATGCATACTGCTGTTTTATTCGACCTGAGTACGGCTTGTGTAACTGACTCCTCCCCTTTTCCTTTTAAAAATTTTGTCTTAGTGCAAGAATGGGAACATTACTTTGCACGATACCTATCAGGGGAAAAATATAAATTTACATTCTCTTCGAAGGAATAATGTTTCTAGCCAGAATGCTGCTTTTGTCAAAGTGATGGCAAATGTAGTTAATGAGGTGGATTTTCTTCTTGCTCATCATATTCTCATTTCAGGAACCAGCAAAATGCTTATTATTATGATACATTTGTGTGTGTGTGTGTGAGAGAGAGAGAGAGAGAGAGAGAGAGAGAGAGAGAGAGAGAGCGAGAGAGTGGGGGAGTGTGTGAGTGTGTG